TAGGTAGGTGGAAAGCTTTAACTGATTGATGAGAATTACATTGATCAAGTGCTGTGCCAGTAGAAACAAAGTCTTAGGTGCTGCAAATTGTCAGCAATTTCTTTCTCCAGCACATAGCTAAATAACACCTGGAAACATCTACATACCTACCTACTCTCTCTCCCTCCCTCCCTCCCTACTCTCTCTTCATATCTATCTACTGTATTTTTCTCTCCCCCCCCTCTATCTATCTACCTACCTACTTTTTTTAAAATTTGCCTCTTCAAAACCTTGGTGGATCTTATACTCCGGTGCGTCCTATAGTCCGAAAAACACGGTAGTTTTTTGTACGTAAAGTAAACATTAGATTTTTTTGTGGACCTTGGTATAAGAGATAGTAGTAGTAATAGTAGACAAAATGTAGTGCCTACTTCAGATGTAGTAGACAAAATCTGGTCCTATAACATTTACTGACATAACATAAAATAACACAACCCCATTTCATATTTGTATATGAATAAAATGAGTAAAATATGTATGCATAAAATCCCATATTTAATGGTTTAATGGACACTCCTGTCTTATTCATTTATTAAACTAAGGTTTATTGTATTTTATATTCAATAACTAGTATGTTTATAAATTAGTTATGTTTGTATCATCTTCTAAAATGTTCAGAATAGTCTAAATGGTTTTCCTTCTCATTTTTTATTGTACTCTTTAGAAATAGGACTAAGAATAAGTGAGCCATCAATTTTCACTGCATATCTGGCATATGTATATATGAATTCCTTGTTTCTGTTTAAAATATGAAAAATGCACTTAAGAACATATTATTCCTGCATTATATGCTGTCTTTTGTTTGAAACAAATCAAGTATTTTACCTTCAGTTTAAAATATATTTTATTTGATCTCTATTATCCACTGCAATGCATTACTAGCTATGTCAGCATTTTGAAAAGTAGTTAATACATTAATCAAGATACATGACATTTATTTTTAAAGAAAAATAATGCCAAAATGATGTTTTTGCACGTTGCTTTATGCTAATTTACAAATAATCATGCTAGATTTTTTGAGTCATTGAAATATTGTTTTTCCAGACCTAGTTTTCGACGCACAAATTGGTTTGAACCTGTAGGTCGGGAATATCAACAAGTGATGGAAAAAGTGGGTGTGATTGACCTTACTCCTTTTGGCAAGTTTAGCATCAAAGGCAGTGATTCAGTTAAACTTTTGGATCGTCTGTTTGCAAATGTGGTCCCAAAGGTAAATAATGTAATAATAATAAGACATAATCCACTGTTAATTCATTTCATTGATCACTTTTGTACTCAGAGGTGTTGAATCAATAGTCCCAACTAGATAAGTATACCACCATCCATCTGGAGCTACAGGGACCATGAAAGTCACTTTACCTCATGTCACATTGCCTTCCTCACTGTATTGACATTTTCCACATTTCCTAATTGCCACTAGCTTCCTTTGTTTAAATACGAGGGTGCACAGTTGGATACAAGGTGATTTAGAATTGACTTCCCCTTGCAATTTCAAAAAGCCAATAATGTAATAATACTTTCTGCAGGTTCCAGGGTGGTAAAATAACAGGGTCACAATCTCCCCATTATTTAGATGCCTTTGGCTATTTCTGGACTCATCTCATTTCCACATTATGGTGGAGAAGAGCAAATATATCTTGCATATAGTGTGTTTACTATGGAATGGAGTAGTGATTGCATGGATGATATTTGTATTAAAGAGATAATCAATGCATATGATGCATGGCCAGCATCAGCCTTTGGTGGCCCGAGCACTCTGCCAGCGAAAACGGGCTTCCGAGCTCCATTTCCAGTTGCAGTGGTCTCCTGCAACACTCTGCCAGGGAAAGCGGAGCTCAGGAGGGCCACATGTGCTCCTCCCAAGGTCCATTTTTGCTGGCAGAGGGACCATGGCCTGGTCCTTTGCTGTTTCCAGGGCAGCCCTGCAGGCCAGATCTAAGCAACCCATGGGCCAGATGCGGTCCCAAGGCCTTGAGTTTGACACCCCTGATGTAAATAATGCTTCCAATATCTAGCTATTTAATCCATTCCAACTTAAAGAGACTGGTGTAGACCTAATCCTGTTAGTTGTGAGGATATGCCAGGAAGAAGAGTAAAGCAAACTGCTTACCTACTTATCTATGTATTTATTCACATAACCTCACAAAATGTGACTCTGGGAAGCTTAGAAACATAATAATTAAAACCATAAGACACTCAAACCGAAAACACAAAAGTATTGTAATTGCCATTTCTCAAAAAGAAAACATGATAAGTTGCCAAAAAGTGCCAGGTCAGAGGAAGTGTTTAAAGATTTGCCTGGAATAAATGTTTTCCAATTGATTCTGGGTACAAAATGTTTCTATTAGGAGGGGAAAAAAGAGAAGAACATCGAAAGCCAGCAGAGGAAGAAGTCTACTTAATTCAGTAATATTTGTGTGCTATGCTATAAAAAGTTAATTTGCATTATTATAAGCTACTGTATAATTGATGATTTTAGCTTACAGTTTTGACTTTATTTCTACACAGATGGGTTTCACAAATATAAGTCATATGTTAACCTTCAAAGGCAAAGTCTATGCTGAACTCACAGTCTCTCATCTGAATCCAGGGGAATTTTTATTAATTACTGGTTCTGGATCAGAGCTTCATGACTTAAGGTCAGTGTAAATGTTAAATACTGAAGTTTTAAAGTAACCTGTGGTCTGAGGAATGTAGGATAAACTGCAGTTCAGAATAATAAAAAAGGCTATAAAAACTTGAAATAGCAGTTTTTATCAGAGATAAATTCATGACTGGTTGAGTATATATTTGTATTGTATATAGTGTAAAATCTTGAAAGGAATTTGTTCATAAGGTTTCATAAACTGCAGAAGTCATGTTCACTAATGTGAGAGAAATGTGTGTGGATACAAGAATATGGCACTTGTTTGTGGCATATTTGTGTAAATATGTTGAATCAGTACAGTACAATACAATAAGAAGTAATTTTAATGAGCTGTCTTTTGATAAAATATTAGCAATGGAAAATTATGTAATAGCCTCAGTTAAGTAGAGGTTTTTTTAAAAAAAACACCTTATGGGCATATTTTTGCATGTTTCTTCAACCTTTCCTTCCTTATGGCATATAAAGTAATGGTTATGCTAATCTTATACAAGAAGTCTTTTTTTTAAAGTAATTGCTGGAATTGTACCATGTCTTAGATTCACAATCATTATACTCCTTGATCCACTGACTAGCTATAGTAGAAGAGACAACAAGGCTGGGCTAACATGTTATGTATCTCTGCAGTTAGCCAGGAATTGCATTTCCAAGCTGTTTCTGCCTCAGAAGCAGATACAAATTCTGTCCTATTCTATGAATTCTCACAATTGGAATCTTCCAGTCTGGCTGCCAGTTAGCACAAAAATTTAAAAAACCGTACTACCTGTGTTTTCCCGAAAACAAGACAGGGTCTTATTTTCTTTTGAACCCTAAAATAAGCACTTGCTCTTATTTTTGGGGAGGTCTTATTATTTTTGAGGTGCAGGAGATGGCGAGCGTGGTCACCTCATGGCTGCTGCTGCTGTGTTGCAATATTTTTGGGGAGGACTTATTTTCGGGGGAGGGCTTATTTTAGTGCATGCGCTCAAAAGCCCGATTAAGCTTATTATTCGGGCAGGTATTATTTTCAGGGAAACAGGGTAGTAAAAAACAAAAACATGTAACACAGGAGGAGACTACATTATTTCCTAACTGTTTAGCACCATTGACTCTACTGACTCTTCAATAATTTTCTTGGGTGTCTGTCAATATTACTCTTACTTTCTATAGAATTTCTAGTCCTATAATATTTTAAATATTATTTTGTTCTGATCTAACAATTCTATTTTATACACAGATGGATTGAAGAAGAGGCACTTAGAGGACACTACAATATTGACATCAAAAACATTACAGATGAAATTGGAGTACTGGGTGTAGCAGGTCCATATGCACGGAAAGTTCTCCAGAAATTAACTTCTGAAGATCTTAGTGATGCTGCATTTAGTTTTCTACAATCCAAGCATTTAAGCATTGGTAACATTCATGTTACTGCAATTAGAATTTCTTATACAGGTATGTGAAAGGAAATTATTTGGCCCATAAATAGAATAGTTGATTTTACTAAAAATGTAAATATCAAATAACCTAGCTATAACAAAAGATAATTCCACATTTCTTTTCAGGTTAAAGTTTTGATGGCTACAATTTAATCCTAGTTAAAAATTTATATTAGTCTTGATTTATTATAGGTGAACTAGGATGGGAATTGTACCACAAACGAGAAGATACTGCAGCTCTATATTCTACAATCATGGATGCTGGATGTGAAGAAGGAATTGACAACTTTGGAACATATGCAATGAATACTTTACGTCTAGAAAAAGCTTTTCGTGCCTGGGGAGCAGAGGTTGGAAACCATGTCTTTTGATATATGTATGTGTGTGTCATGGTGGGTTCCGGATCCCGTCGCACCCAGTACGCTGTGATGGGGCCGGGCATGCGTTTCGTGTCAACTTCTAAAGCGTTGCCATGACTATTATCAAGTTGGCATTCGAGGGAGGATTCCATGCATACCTTCGGCCAGAGTTGGATCTCATATTTCTACAACCTAGTTTGTGAATATGATGTATGACGTATGACAGAAGGGAGGAGATAGAGGGATAAAGTTCAAACATAATTAAGCGAAGCCAGTTTTGGCTCCTCAGGAGTACACGGCAGAATGTTGATCTTAATAAATGAATGGATTTCTTTTGAACTCTGTCTTGAGGCTCGTAAATTAATTAGGTCATCTTCTGGGAACTTCACAGGCTCTACATCCTACAACATCCTGACGCAGAGCGACCATTCAGAATCCAGAGGGATGCCAGTGATGTAGGGATAGCTGCAGTGCTACTGCAAAAGAATAAAGAAGGCCCCCCCTTGCAGTGCGCTTACATCTCCA